ACTAAATCTAGGTGTGAAATTTTTACATATAAGACTAATGAATAAGCTAAAAACGAATTTAATATATGCGATTAATTTAGATTTATTTGTACATATTTATCATTCAAAATAATAACAGATTGCGACCGAGATTACATGAACAAGTTTTCTATGATTAAAATGGGAATATTGTATATAGACATATTATACTGAAATGGACGCGAAATGGATGAGATTGTAATTAAAAAATCTATAAAAATAAATTGCAAGGTAAAAACTATTTTCATGTCATGTTCTATTCTATTTTAAAATATAACAATAGAAATGCATCAGCATATACTTTAAATAAAGTTTTTTATGTAGAACTACAAAAATGTTTTAAAAATTAAACTAAAAAACCGGAATTTTTTAGATATGTTTTGAAAAAATTATGCTTAATTGTATGCAATTTGATTATATTCATACTTTATTCACATGAATAATTGTGTGTATTAAAAAACAAGAATTATTTGTTAGATCAATGTCTACTTATGTGAAGCACTTACAACGAAAAAAGTAGCAAAAAGTAATTTAAGACTGACTTTAAAAAGTAATTTTTATAGTGAAAGTTTGACACTTTCTGTTAAATTCATTTTGAAGAGCCATCTAACGGGATTAGTGTTTGAAGCCATCTTTAAGTTTTTTTACAATAAAGGGGAAACGGCTAGATACATTAAGTATGAAAGTATATTTTATAAACATTTACGTATGTGCTTATGGATATAATCCTAAAAATATGCAAAATAACTGAACTCAAAAATGATTTCTCTTTGTGGAACTGTGTAGTTTTCTATGACAAAATTTCAAAAAAGTTGTTTCTTTTTTCCTTAGTACATGCTCCTGAATAGCAGATAAATGACGTGAGCAAATATTTATAAACTAGACTCAGACCATACTCTTATCCTTTTATATGCCAACTGAGCTACAGAAATATGGAAACGTTCTCGATTACTTTATTCTCTATGTCTTTCTCTGCGGTAAATATAATTACATGTATTGTTTATATCCGATTTATATAGATAAATTATATGCCAAAAGATTCACTATCCTATAGAGAGTAGATTACTTTTTCCCGTGAAATTATTTTTATGCAAACATAGAAATAATAACTGTATGTAATTGTTTTGTCCCCAATTTTCTAAAAACTTTAAACACAAAGCCAGTTCTTTCGAAAAAATTAAATTTTGGAAAAACTTTAAAATATAAAACTCATAAAAGTAGGCACTTTTTTTAATTAAGTTTTATAAAAAATTCAAATTAATTTCAATTTACATAATAAGAAAAAAAGAACCTAATTTTCAACTATATTAAAGGAATTAAAATCTAATTCTCATTTATAGAATTATTTTTTAACCCATCACTTTATCTAACAATATCACCTGTGCCATTCCTCAATTTGATACTAAGGTAAAATAAGGCAAGAAAAATAATTTACAAAATTATTCTACTTCAATATGAAAAATGAAAATTTATTTATTTTTTTCCATTAAGTAAATAATACAACAATGATTAAGGATCCTGAAGACATCTTGAAAGGTTTCAACTTTTTTAGTAACCTATCAGGTAAGAGAATATAAAAAGTCAATTATGTAATGTAATGTATATTAGAACTATGATGAAATTAAATGTAGAAACAGTACAAAATCCTGCCTGTCAGAGTAAGTGTGTTAATGAAAATCTATTAGACAGGAAAAATATCTAAATTTCTTTTTTTCATGTTTTCATTATTTTTATTATTAACTTCTTTTTATTCTATTTTCAATAAAAAATTTACAAAAAGAGAGTAGGTGTAATAAATTTTTTGGGGAAGCTCAAGATATTTGCAATATTCTAACAATTTCTCTAAAAAAAAAATTAAGAAAATTATTAAACAACTAGCATCAGACTCGATATATTTTGTTAAGACTTTAAGATTATTTGAAAAATTAAAAATATTAATTATCTGACAAAATTGATGACTAATATTTCCTTTACGGTATCAAAGTGTATTTATCTACACAACAAATGCTTGAATCAAAAGTTACAATCGAGATAAAAGACATGCAACGGAGCTACTTGATTTCAATATGAAACTGACACATTTATTGGGAGGACAAATCTAGAATACTCTCGTTTTAAATTGGGAGAGAAATCCTACTCTGATTTCGAGTTCCATTACAGTTCAAAACAAAAAACGATTTGTTTTACGATCAGTTTGAACACAGATAGCGAAGTAATTTTTGTATATTTCATGATGACAACGTGCTGGATCCATATATGTATGGCGGATCTCTACTACTAATCTGATGGCCTCTTCCATTAGGATTACTTGAATAATTCAGAATATTCATTATATAAATTCACTACTAATATCTTTTGCCACAATATTTAGAGCAGAAGAACAAAATGAAAACATCTTTTATTTCCAAAAAAGAAAAGTTCTAGGAAAAAAGCAGTATATTAACTCATTTTGATTCTCATCTTAATAATTCATTCTCTTTCAGCAGAAAAAAAAAAACTCACGTTGAAATTTCTATTGTTTTGTTTTCCTCTATTATTTCTATATACTTTTGTTATAAATACCTGGAAAAGGATGTTTAACGCTAGTAATACAAAGAATGTGTACAGAATATTAAAATATACAAACGCAGAATGAAAATAAGTTTTACTTACTGGTATGAAATGGAAATTTTCATTCATAAAACAAATGGAAAAAAAAGAAAATGGGAAAACTCGATTTTCTTCTATTTAAAGGTATTACAATTTCTTCATAAATTCGCTACTATAACAGTAAAATTTTTTTAAATCAGAAAATTATGTTATTATTAACTGAACGGGTTCTAAATGAGAAGAATTTATTTTTATAATCCACAATGGGATATTGTATAGTTTCTGTAATACTTCGGAATGCAAGACATGAATATTATTAGTACTAAATTTCCTTGAAGGATTCTCAACTCCGTTAAATAATCCTTAGAAAACTTTTTTGGTTTTGCAATACTCGTACAAGTAGTATAAATTTGCAACTATTACTTGAGCATTATAAAACGGAAAATGAAATAAATTTACACAAGGGATAGGAAATTAATGATAATTAAGTAATAGAAATGAATTATTTCAAATTTCAATAAAAGAAGCATAAATGCAAAATTTGCAAAGAAAATGAAATTTAATATTGTAATAGTTTTGATTTATGTACTCGGAAACTTGAATAAGTTGGAAAATTTGAACAAAATAATGCAATTTTTAGAGGTATTCATCGAAAATTTATGTGATAAATGAAATTAACGATTAATGTGTTCAATAGTTGCTGTTTTGTCTTCCATTAGTTGTTCCTCCTATAAAACCGTACGTTTCATTCCATTACAGCAACAAATTATTTAAGTATATTATAACAATTGAAAATAAGATTTTAAAATTTAATAAATACATTTACAAAATAAGTACAATATTCCCAGTCACTTCCTTGTAATTAATTTAGAGAAAAAACAGATTAAACTAATTTCAAAATTCTATAGAGAATTCCTTTAAATATAAATCTAAAAAAGACTTCCTTATTTCTTCATTTATTTGTAGGAAACCTTTTTATTTTTTAATATTATTTTAATGTTCGTAATGTTATTCTAATCTAACGTACATACACATAAATAGAAATAGAAATAGTAGTTAAATAGAAAATGTATAAGAGCATAGATTAGTACATGATAAGAATTTTAAATAATTTTAAAATTCCATTCCTTATCCCTATGTATTCGAAAATCTTTAAAATCTAACAGAATGTATATAATATAATTATCCTTTCGTATATCCTCTGGTATAAAATTATTCTGGAAAAACTGAATTTTTGCTGAAATATACAAAAAGAAAAGAGAAAACAAAATTGTGCTAAACTTTAAATTTAAAAATTTGTTTAATTTGAAATTTAAGAATGTAAAAAGGTGAGAAACTGTTGAATATTTTTCCATTACAACAGAAGAAGTACATACAATCAGTCTCTGCACATAATATACACACTCATAAGTAATACACAAATACAAACAAATAAGTACAAAGTATATAAGTAGAAATAATTAAGTGAGATTTAAAACTTTACTGAAACATTGCTAAACAATTAATTGTTAAAAATTTAAATTAATTTTTTTACCCCAAAAAAGAAAAAACAAAAAAATTAAAACTTAAGTACTTATGCCAAAAGATAAGATAAAAAAGGTGAAATTGAATTAGTGCTATTGAAATTCGAATTAACAAGAAGCATTTTTCCATTCCAAATTTTTGTTAATAAAATAATGTAAAATAAAATATTGCATACTTTTGGGGGCAAATTTGATTTCTTCTGTATACATAAATTGCCTTCTGATTTATGTGGAGTAAGTAGGTAAGGCTATAAGCAACCACAATAGCAATATTCAAATTAAATGCCGAATCGCATACTGAAGCTAAACGAAAAAGCTATTAAAATTGAATATTATTTAAGACTTATAACTTAACTAGATTTATAACTTTTATAGCTTAAATTTAAAAAGAATTATATACCATGTCACGCAAAATTAGCAAAATTTAAATTTTCAAAATATTCAAAGACTAAAATTCAAATATTAAGTTCGGTCCTTTGAATTATTTCAAAATAAACTGTAAAATGCATTAGAACAACACAAATGCAAATAGGATTGGCATAGAATGAAATAAATTGTGTAACTAGCATGATTTTAAAGCCAGACAAAAAAACTGAGAATTACTGAAAGAATTTTGTTCAACATTTGTGAAAAACGAGTAAAAGAACTCAAAGATATGCAAATAACCAGAAACAGATAAGTTAAGGATCATTTAATTACTCTTCAAAAAAACTACTCTCTTAATATTTATACTGTACACTATAGGAATATTATCATATTACCAGATATTGTTCAAAATACATAGTGTAAGATTATGTTAACAACAAGAAAAATTAGAAATATTTTTTATAATTTACAAGAAAAACAAAATATAAAAATGTTCCAATTTACCTTTTAAAGAATAATCTCCTCTTTATGAAAAAATATCCTTAAATACACAAATATCTGAAAATAAGAAAACAGAAAGAAAAATTTGAATATATTAATTAATAAATTATTCATGAATTTTAATTAGTTTTTATAGCAGAAAATAAAAAGCTTCAAATTATAATATAAAGTAGTTAATTAAGCTTCAAAATTTCTAAGTATAACATTACATACAATTTATCATTATCCTTGAAATAATTATAAAAAATTATTTAAGTCTATATAAGCAGGAATTTTGGATTAATACTCGTATATGGTAACAATTTTTTGAAATTCAATAAATGGCGGTAAATTTAATAATAGTGAACCTTGTAACACGAATTTTATAAAAAATATAAGGAAGGTATCACAATTTTTAATGCGTAATACATTATTTTTTCTAAAGCGAATACAGTCTAATTATATAATCCAGTCTACTGGATTTCATACTGATCGAGGTAAATGACCCGAATTTACTGAAATTTCATATTGGATAAAGCCGATTGCAAACAGATCATTATAATATTTAGCAAACAATAATGATTAAATTTGAATAAATGCAAAGCTAAGGGTAATCCGTTCATCGAAAATTACAAATGTGAGTTGTACAATAGTGTTCTTGCTTTCTTATATTTGAAAATACAAATGATAAAATATGAATACGTTCGGCCGAGATGTGGTTTGAATTGAATAATGCTAAATGTCATGCAGCGACCATTACAATTGCCAATATGCTGTAATTACGATAATCCATTAAAATCATTTCGCAAATGTTAATATTATTTACTATACTATCGCTGAATAAAATCAATTTTCAATTCAAATTTCATTTTTCATAATTTCAAGTTCTATTGTGCTTAAGAAAAAAAATCTTCACCAATTCTATTTTTTTTTTAAATTCAATTTGAAATTATTTTTATAAATCTTAACTTGATGGTATTTGAAAATTACTTTTTCAAATTGAAAAAGAATTAATTTGAATAAAATTATCATAAATTAATCACTTATCATTGAATTCTCAATATTTTAACAGACTTGCATATAATATAGGGTATACTTATAAATGTTAATTTAAATAAATTATGTTTGAAAATAAAAATAATTTTAGCATCATAGTTTCAATTTGGTACATTTCACTTCAAATTAACCGAGTTAAAGTGAAATTTCGTATGAATAAATTAAAAATTTGCCTTAAATTTAATTGACTGGAAATTATTGTGCTAAATAATTCTAAATTAGACAAGATATCAATTATTATTCACTTAAATGTAAATAATCTTTAAATTTTCTAGAAAATAATCAAAAGTGCTCGTATTATGCAGACAAAATAAAGATTATATGGCAATAGATTTCAATGAACAATTATTAATTTATTAAATAATGGGCTTTTCCTTAAATATCGAATTCATGTTGCAAAAACAAACTCTTGTCGTAAGGAAACTTTTGAATTTATATTTGAAATTTATTTCAAAATTAAGTGTAAAACTCAAATTTTATGTTATGTAAAAAATTTTACATTTTTTTCTTAATTCTAATGATTTCCCAATGCAGTAGAATATTTACTTTTGTCTATTACTAAATAATCAATAATTTACAGCTTATATACTGGAAATTTACACCTCATTTTTTCTAAATTCACAAAAATATTCAATTCTTTAAAATATTCTATAACAATAACCATCAAAATCCTAAAATCAAGAAAAATCTTCATAAAATTAACGCTCCATTTTCTTATTAATAAAAAATTTTTCACAACACCAACTGAAATATCAAAATTTCCACATTAACATTAAGAACATAAAAATTTAATTCATCTCACATTTTTATACTTCCGTTTATACTCTTCTTATACCCTCCAATATTTACCGACTTTACTCACATCCTGTCTATACAACACGAAGAAAAGTTAAAGCAGAAAATTACAAGAAAAACATTACCAGGTGTAAATTTTATAAAATGAGGTGGTAATTCTGTTTTTCAATCCAATATTTGTATATAATGTATAAAAAAGTTACATGTTACAGAACATTTGATATTACATAACTAAAATTTCTTTAACAGTTATTTTTTGGTTTGCTTTATTCTGAAAGGAAAACTTTTCAGTTTCCAAAAAATAAAAAGATATATTTAAGTAGTAACCAAAAGTATACTTAAATATAGTTTTATATACCATATTACTCCTATACCAAAAATATTTCTTCTTTTCAATTTTCCACATATTTATTTATTATTATTTCGTATACTTAGTTAAATTTATGTAAGAATAAAATTCCTCTGGGTAAAATTTGATTTGATGTTCAACTTTACGCACAATTACACTTTAAATAGAGGTAAAAATGAATTGAGAAAACAAAAAAAAAAATAAAATGAAAATGTAAATTTTACCTTTTTTACACTATAGACCCACATCGTTACATAACAATGATCGCACCTTCTCTTACCCATACTTTATTTAAAATCTATTCAAAATATTTTGTGTAATATAACCTTAACTTTCATATCTGATAATAGTAAAGTTAATGGTGATCCATTATTAAATGTCAGATTCATATAATACTTTTAGTTCAGAAACAGTAAACAAGAAGGAAGAAGGAAGAAAGAGAATGAAGAAAACTGTTATGGAAAATTTTGTGGAAAATTTCCGTTTCTTTTTTTTTGTTTGATTATTATTTAGGTAACATAAAAATTTTGTTTTCAATGAAATCATAAAAATGAAAATTGCAGAAATTTTTTTGAAAACGATTTTTAGAATAATTTTTTATGATGATTTTTTTAAAGTTACATTTTTTAAGAATAAATCTTATTTATTATGATATTTTAGGAATAATAAAAATATTGATGTAGTTTATGTAAAATTGACACATCACCATTGTCGAATTTTCAACACACCATACATTTTGTTACTGTCTTGTCACCCTCTCTTTCAATTTCTTCTCTCTTTATATTTTCATATTTGAATAATTTATTGAAATAAATGTGACAGATGCTTCATCAATACTCGAAAAATAATTTTGCAAAAAAAAAATTGTTAAAAAAATTTGGTTCAAGAAATGATGTCGAGGTGAAAAACGTGGTAGAAATTATTAAATGGAAAACATATACAGCAAGTCTGTAGTTTCTTGTGACAGTTTTGAATAACAAGCAAAATATAAGTAGATTACTGCCTCTTTTCGTAAAATAAAATAAATTTGAATATGTAAATAATAAAATTTAATTTCGATAAGAAAAAAAAAATGAGAGAAATGCAAAACATCAAAAAAGATGAGTGTTAACTTTAAAATATTTGAGTTTTGAAAATTTAATTATACTTCCTGAATTCTTATGAACGAATTTTCTGTCGAAAATATCTCCGGAGAGGAAATATAAGCTACTAAACAAAGACTCATACAATAAAAATGAAATTTTATCAACCTTTTTTACACGGAAAAAGATCATGATTATTTAGATATTTCAAAAGTCTATTGAGGAAAAAAATAATTTATTTTCAAAATTTGGATATTTCATTGAAAAATGAGAATTCTCTTAATTATTTGATCAGAGTGATGAATAAATAACCTTAATATTAACTGAACATTTCGTAATAAGCTAAAGGTAGAGAAAACTAAGTTATTTGTCAAAATTCATTTTTAAATTACAGAAAATTTCGTGCATATATTCTAGTATAATTAATAATAAGTCTGCAAAATTAATTTGCTTTCTAATAAAATGTACCACAAACTTAAATCGAATAAAAATCTTAAAACACTTGTATAAGTAAAAATGTAATTTTCTAATCCTTTGGTTCTTATAATTTCTTATTTTATTCATTTAATTTCATATCAAAAACCAATTAATACAAATCGTGGTAAAGTTATAAAAAAAACCAAGAAATATAATAATAGTATAACAGTTATTATATGTACTTATATATTTAATTAATCATTTTTTAAAAAATAAATTCTTAGTTCTATTTCAATTTCTGAAACGGTTGATTTCACATGAAATATTTTAATAATCCATACAATTTAACATCCAATTAGCTTAAACAGTGCAAATATTTTCCCTTTCATTTTATTTAGCCAATATAATGCAGTCGATTTTATAAGTGACTACATTATTGATCAAGATTAAATTAAACTTAGAATTTAACCCATAATTAATTGTTTAAATCCGAGACTAAAAAATATTTAATAAAATGTATTCTAAATTTAATAACAAGTTACCAGTTCTTTGTTTAGAATTATTTTTGTATTCTAAAAGTTTTATTTCAATAACTTTTCTTTTTATTACTTAATCTTTAACAATTACTCCATTTTTATACTTGTATGTTCGAAGGATATACTAAATTTACCTTACCGTTTGTAACGCTAAGAAATAATGCTCTGAGATATAGACTCCAGAGTTTATTTTTGATCAGCGTCGAATTCTGACTTAATTTAATTTTAACCGTCCGCCCGTCCCAACGACAGCTCAAAAACTAATTGAGCTAAGTTCACCAAATTTTCACAAATGATTTATTATGATAAATTCCAAAACCTTATTTAAATTGGGTATGATCGGGGTACTGGTCCGAGTCAATGCCATACAACTTCAAAATTTATTTGACTATATCTTAGAAACTATAGTTGTGGTATTGAGATTTCGCACAAGTAAATATATAAGTAGGGCCGATATGTTTGAAAAACATATTGAAATTGTCAAACTCTTTCTGGTAGCTGCCATACAACTTCAATAGTAGTTTGGTCATATCTTAGAAAATATTGAAAACATAGTCGACAAGGTCAACTCTATTTTTTCTATTATTTCAACTCTATAATCTCAAGTTTTTCCTAAACTTGTTAAAAATGTTTAAATAGTAGTTATTTATACTGTATGTATGTATATGTAAGTATATTTATTCTTAAATAGTTCATATTTAATGAATTGTTCAGTTTTAAAGCTTTCAATTTAATAATAATTGATTAAATTCATTTGTTATGTTCAATATTAATTGATCAAATTTATGTATAAATGTACATGAATATATATATATATATATATACGCTTCAATAAATAATTCT